GTTGGTTCATAATGGGAAAAGACAAGCGCCGAAAGACTAGGACAAGGTAAGAAGACGACGACACAAGGCGTTTAGGGGAACATAAAAAAGAGCCCGTTGCAGAAGAAATGAATTGCAACAAAATGGTGAGTTGGGCCAGTTGGTTCATAATGGGAAAAGACAAGCGCCGAAAGACTAGGACAAGGTAAGAAGACGACGACACAAGGCGTTTAGGGGAACATAAAAAAGAGCCCGTTGCAGAAGAAATGAATTGCAACAAAATGGTGAGTTGGGCCAGTTGGTTCATAATGGGAAAAGGCAAGCGCCGAAAGACTAGGACAAGGTAAGAAGACGACGACACAAGCGCAATTGAGTTGACTAGCTATTAGGTGAACTGCTCAATAAAAGTATATTTGACAGTCAGAGAGATACTTCTTAAACTTAGCCAAATGGTTTTAGCCGGTAGCACGGAGACGAATGTGGACAAGCCGAAGAGAGTCTTCATCGGAGATTCACACAGAACCTCTCTGCATTGAACTTGACTTCGAAACCTGAACGGAGAAAATTAGTATTTTTTGTGGCAGGTTAACCTGAGCAATGTAGACGTATATTGCTGCTGGCTTCGACAAGGGTATATATAAATATTGGAGGCGCGATAGATCATAATGCTGTGACAGCTTCTAACTTTGCGAGACGCGTCCCCCACATTTTGAAAGCAGATAATTTCCCTCATTAATCATATGCAACGAGCAGGTTTTCCTGAATCGATTAATTGCGCAATCAGCCCAACTCCTTCAGTGTGGTCGAGAGGCTCTTTCGGCGGAAAGCAGCCAAGATGAATAGCCAAAGCACCGACCGGCGTGGGTGGCTCAAACTTGAAGTTTTAATCGAACACAACCAAACTCAAGAAAAGCAGCTATCGAACCTTCCCATTCACTTGACTGCAACATTAATGTTCCCTCCAGTGAAACACCTCCGTCTGTCGTCCTCAGTTCACTGGTCTATATCGTTATAAAGAAACGACTTATCAGTAACTGGGTAGTCGTCACTCTGAATGTGATTCGAGACAGACAAGAAATCAAAACGTTTTTCCGTGATTCCTCCCCATCCAAGAAATCGAAAGCACGCGATCGTATCTTGAGGAGTAAATGGGCTTTCAAACACGTGATGGAAGAAAACAATCTACTGAGGTTTCACCACACTAATGAACACTCAGCCTTCGTCAAATTACATTGTTCGCCACCGCGCCGACAACACGTGTCCGCGAAAGCCACCAGAGACGCGGAGGGGCGCGGAGCGACCTGGACCGACTGGTTCCCGGTTTTCTCGCTTGGTGGCGTCCGTTTTGCTGGAGTCGCGAATAGTAGAGTACGTTTTTTCAAACCGAGAGCGTTAAGGAGCTCACGTCGCAGAGAAGCTGGCGTCGGCGTCAATGGGACGGGAAAATCATGATTGGTCGATAGGGTCACGAAGTCACAGCCACTTGACCTCGGAAGGGATTTTTTATATACTTAACCCACAAGGCTCACGTTAAACGTGACGTCACGCGTAAAATGAAAGTGATTAAAACATGAAGTGTAATGCGAGTTAAAGGTTGCCGGATCTCTCAAATGGTTTCACTTCATAAAGTAATTCATTTGCCTTAAAGAAACAATTTGAAGGATTTTAGGCCGGATTGGAACCAACGACCCATTGGTGGGGAGTCAAACACGCTACTGACTAGTTCAAGCAGGCTTTATTTTTGTTTCTCTTTGGCTGCTTTGACAAAGTTGCACAACACTTTTAAGGGTAAACTCATGCGTGCAATACACTATGCGCACATCACCTTTAAAATTCCTTCACGTTCTCCAAAACATCCAATATGGATAACTACTCCTGCGGGGGGAAAACCAATGTGGCATACTATAAGTCGTTTGAAGCGAAAAATAGGAACCCTAGCCAAAAATGTATTAAAGATTTACCCGACGCTTCGGGACTTGGCGAGCTGTGGAGGCTAGGGCCCCGCAACCACGTAAGGCACGTGTGACCCGACGTCATGGCATCATTTGTGTCGACACGCCAAATGCGAGGCGCGAGGCCCGGAGGAACCCGCTGTCGTCTGCTAGCTGTGTCAAACGTCCCAGACGTTGCGCTCGACCACCTTCGATTTCTGAAAAAACAAAAAGTCATGGCGTTTTGCCGCATTGTCCGTTAACATGCCCTAAAATATTTTTGACGAAAAAAAAACTTCGATGGCGTGAGCCCGGTTTTAACTTTTAAAATTAGCTTGAAACTAGGTATCATTCCCTAATTTATGAAAAATCAGGTTTTCATTAAACACACAACAACATTTTTTCTTATATCTGTAATTACTTTGATTAAACTTTCGGAATCAAAACACAATTGACTGTTTTTCAAAACCCACCATATTTTGTGTTTTTACTTGGACCACCTCAGGGTGAAATAAATGGCTGTTTATGCGACAAAACGCACTTTTCGGCAACTTCAGGATTTTTTTTTTTACTGCGAGATATTTAATTGGGCGGTTTAAATTTTTTAAATATATTATATACCTGCAGGGGCAGCCGGTAAAAAGTTATATTACGTCCCCGGAGTGATTAGATATATTTTTTTTTCAATAAAAATAATGTTAAAAATTAAAAAAAAAATGTTTTTTTTTAATATTTAAATTAAACAAAACTGCACAAACCGAACCACATTGCAAGTCGAAAGCCGCGCAGATTGAAGAAAAAATATTCTTGGGTGTTTCATGAAAAAGCGAATTTTTCATAAATTATGTAATGCTACCTAGTTTCACGCTATTTCTAAAAATTAAAACCGCGCTCACGTCATCAAAAAAATTTTTAGTCAAAGATATTTTAGGGCATGGCTACGGACAATCCGAAAAAAGGCCTTGAATTTTTTTTTTTTTTTTTTATAAATTGATGGTGGTCGAGCGCAACGTCTGGGACGTTTGACATGGCATGACACAGCCGAGAGTCTTCTGCTCCGAAACCAACCAACTTCGGATGAACGTCTACCGCACCAACATATCCGTCCGCTAGAATAGCGAGCACTTCGGAAAGAGTTCATGAGACAACCATACGCTCAATTTAGCCGCGAATCTGTGACGGGTGCTAATGCAGCCACCGCGATGTTTTGAGCGGAAACGGCCGATTACACGGCTGCGATGGCCAGTGATCGCCAACGGCCACGGCACTACCAGAAGAACGGATACGGATGTGAGGTTACAGATGGAATCGCGCGAGTTCAATTTCCCTTAGAAGAAAAAGAAGGCTAGAACTACTTTTTGTCGCGGACGGCGCTAATGCTGTGGCGGTAACGAGGCCCTCGTGGCCTCGTCATGGAGTGTTATCACGCGCCTTGCACCGGCGCTCTCATTGGGTCGCGGGGGCCGTAGCCGGGACCCAACCACGAGGCCCATGATGCACAGCCCATCTAAATAAAGTTTGTCTCACCAACCATCCACAGTCCGCCAAGTTATCGTGAAATGGAGTGTAGGCCACGCAGACACACTTGCACGGCTTTCGCATTCCACTCTTAGAGGCGAAGCTTAAGCGCCTTCCTCTAATTTATTTTTTCAGTAAATGCGCTGGTGTAGCAAGAAGCAGCACAAAAAGCGGATTGATAATTAATATGAACCAGTGGATTACCGATTTGGTATTGCTGATTATCAATAATTATGTCAACTAAATTCACTACCACGTTCAAGAAACTAAACGCTTTTTCATGCCGAATTTCGTTCAAAAATTATTCAAGAACGAATTAGTTTTCTTTTTCAATGTACTAAGTGATTTTTAAGGCAGGGTCTGACAACAAACGATAACTGCCTTTTCTTTTCTTCTTTTTCCCGCTGAAAAATTTAAGTGTAGCGTCGGCGGTATAAAAAAAACCCACCAAAAAATAAGACATAACTTTATTTCATTCGACGCAAGAATACATTTACGCAAATAGGGAATGAAGAGCTGGCGTGAATGGAGCCTTCGTATACTGAGGCAATCATCTCGTATGCAGGAAAAAATTTAACCCGATTTCGTTCTGTTAACATTTCAGAGATTGCTTCTATTATCTGGAGTAGAAAACGTTCAGTAAAATATTTTGTGCTGCGTATTTTTGTTTTTAATTAATTTATATTTTACAAGAAGAAGGTCTAGAACTGATTTTTCTCCTTGCATTTCTACATTTACTTACACACTTCAGAATAATTCTCCTTTTACTACATTCAGTCTCTAACTTTCGAAGACCACCCTTAATCGCAGGCTTTCGTCTAATATTCACAATAAATAAATACATTTAGTTTAATTTCCGTCACCAAGCCCTTGATTGCGGTGCATATATAGGAGGCAACTACGGCGTATCTGCTGCTCAAAAATATATAGAAGGTGGTTTCCGAAATGGCCTAATAAGCTTTAAAATCGCTTCACGATGCCTGCCTTCTATGTTGATTAAATGACGTTTATATTAAAACCGGATTAAGTATCGCCCCTCACGTAGTTAAGATCTGTTTATTTAACAAAGAAAACACTATGCAACATGAAATAATATAAGGTGACCATGACGCGGATTTTTTATTTTTTTTAATGGTGCTTATTTAAGCTCCGATGAGAAGCACAAAGAGGCTTTTATTATTGAGGCTGAATTATAATAAACATGTCAAATCTGTATGATATCATTAGACTAGGTGGTATGGTATTTGCCATCAGTCTCTAATGGTGTTAAAAATACAAGTATATTTTAAAAGGCCGGAGCATTTCTTTAATGTAGCAGTCACACGTTTCCTAACGCAGCATTTCATGTGCGCAAATGACACTCGTGGAAATGTCGGTTTAATTTCTTGACACATATATCATGCTTAAAATGTCTAGAACAAAGGAACTGCAACAGAATGGCGAACAAAGTAAGTCCAAATACCAAAGCGGTATAAGCTCCGGAATAAAATAAAATAAATCGGCGAAACATTTTAAAAATAGTCCAGGATTTTCGCGGCTATATAACGCTCGAATGCAGTGGGCATAGGGACTCACAACTTCGTTGAAAACAATACACCGACTATGGGATTCACCGGAATTGCGCTCCTGTTGGGTGAGTTTTTAAGTTATTTAGCCGATTGCATTGCCAGTATTGTTAAGCGCTGTTGTAGTGTGTGCGACGATCTACTTACTTTGTAATAAAGATTTGCAAGCTAAGCACAAATAAAATAATTTTGTTTAGTCAAGTCTATACTTTTTATTTAATGAATGATAGAAAAATATCAGATTCTTATTGCGTATACCTTCTGCCAATAGCTCAAGTAAATTAGAGCTAAGCTGATACTTGTCTCAGTTTTAGTGCTCCCCGTGATAGGGGTAAATAAAGGAATATAAGTTATTACAATCAGTCAGGAAGCTGTATATTCGAGACATCCGATGTATTTACCTCTTGTCGATATAATTACAAAAACTACCATAATCGCGAAACATTCTATTGAGTCGAAGTGTGCTAAGCACATCCCCCCCCCCCCCCCCCCCACCAAAAAAAAAAAAAAACCTAGTGGGTAGCAACTTGTCGCGATTAAACTTCTATTATACATGTACTGAAAAATAATATATATTTTGAGTAGGGTTGAAGTTAAAGAAGTGGATCATTACACGAATTGCCTTGGCATGCATATTACGTGTTCCGAAAAGGAGGCTTTTTTTCTATATTTTAGCAAACGTTTAAAAAAATATCCATATATTTTTTTTAATTATTCGGGCACTTTCGGAAGAGCTGTTCACGTAGTAAGTATTAAACGATGTATCTTGAGTCCTTTGCGAAACCTGTTCTTATGGTTTCTACAGTCGCTCTAATTTCCGTTTAACATTGGCTGAGTCTGCTGGGTAAAAAGGAGATGTAGACCATTTTGTGCATTGTTTTACAATTTGCTTGTTTCATAAGTAGGTTTGAACATTTTCTCGTGGAGCTCCAATATTCCAATCGATGTTGTTTACGGCGAAGGTGTTCTTGCCACGACGCATACATAACTAATTAAAATTTATATAACTGCCTTCCTAATCCGTACTAGTATATTCGATATGTAAACCTCATAAAAAGAACCATGTATCCGGGAACTCAGAACGTCTCGAAGCATTGCAACAGCGGAAGTTAGCTACTGCGTTCGCCCATTGCCTGCATTACTGTCCCTTAGTAGTAAACTGTAAGGCCATTTACGAAGAACCACATCCGTGTTCTGTCTGTTGTCTTGATGCGCGTCAAGAAGCGATTATTCCGTGAATCCTGTTATATTTTGTTATTATTACATAAACATTTAGAATTAATGCATTGAAAAAAGAGGAGTTCACCAAATATATTTAAGTTGGTCTAGTTGAACTCTTTCTTTTTGCGTGTTTTATTGCCTGCAGTGTCTTTGGCCTTCCTTGGAAGCGCTGCTGATGAGGAATGCAGCAACGGAACAAGACCCACATCGGTAACAGTTTAATTTTTATTGTAGAACTGGAAACGTGTCGTGTGTCGATTCGTCAATCAAAGCAAGGGTTCCGAGCCGTCCACTCTTTTGTCAGCATGTTTTCAGGAGCACATAAAATGACCTAAATGCGCACACGAAAAAAATATTTTATTGCTTAAATTACTAACCCGCGATGCGGTCTGTGAAAATAAATTATTGTGAATAGTACTAGCAACTTAGTCATCATGTTTATTTTTTACACAGCAAAAGGATAGAGAAGGCTGCGATTATTACTGCTGGAACGATGGAAGCAACTCATGGGACCAATATTTTTTCGGAGACAATGAACCCTGCTTTGTGAGTTGCAAACCTAATCTTGTTAACACACGTACGGGCTCCCCCAACTGAGGGGGTTATGTTCCACATAGACAGCCTTTTCCATAACTACACTAATTCTTTTTTTTTAAAGCATGTTCACTGCAATGATCTTAGAATATGCATCAGAAAGAGGTACACCTGCGGCTTTTTTTACTTTTTTTTTACTTTCAAATTGATGCCGAAAGTTACCACTTTTTGTTTAATTATTCACCATGTAGGATATATCTGTAGATAGTATAATAGTGTCTTTCTTACCTGTGTTTAATTTTAGTTCACATATTTATGTATTGCCACGCGCGTCGGCGAGCGACCGCGTGCGTGGCAGAGTAGTTACCGTGCTTGTCGGTCGCGCGGAAAGTCTAGGTTCGATTTCAGACGGTGTAATGTTCTTTTATTTATTCTTTCAACATTGCATTCTCGTGAGTTCGAGAACACTCTCGGCTGTTCGAGTTCCGAATGTTCAACTCGCCGAACGTTCTAGGTCAATTGTTCCAGAAGCCTACGCGCGTAGATAAGGGGCTCCGCGTGGCAAGCTGCAGTCAGTCTCGCCTGTCGGAAATCGCGTACCGCCGCCGATTAGCCGTTTCCTACGTGGTCCGTCAACAACCCGAGTCCAGCCTGGTTCTTTCGCGGGAGCGGGATTCCGCTCCCAGTTTATTGGTACAATAAAACACAACGCTACAAAACACTGAATCTAAACTACAAATACAAGCTACATTACACAAATATTTACAAACCCGCGTTAGGCCAGAAGCTAAACCCAAAGAAGGCCCCCAGGCCTCGTGTCCCGCGATATCCTAGATCCGGTCGCCACCCACCTACCTGCGTCTCGGTCTCGTCCGGAGTTCTAAGAGACTCTTCGCAGTCAGTCCGAGTTTTAAAAGCAAGGAAATCAAAAGAAGTGTTGCTAGACTCTTCGCCCCCTGTCTACCGAGTATATATCAATCGATGAGCGAGATTTCTCCTCGCCCACCACGGGGCGCCTGCAGCGCCATTCAGTGGCTGGGAGAGAAAGCGGCACGTCGGGAGCCGAATTCGAGATCCTGATCAACCCCGCGGCGACGCGACCATGTTATCGTGTCTGAGGCGAGGCAGCTACTTAGCTGCCTCGCGGCCAAAATGGCAGAGTGGTTTGATAGGCGCCCTCGTGAATGCACGGTGCGCCATACACCCCAGCGTTCGACTCTGCTGTTACGCCGACTTCGACGCCCGCGACGCTGTTCTGTTATCTTCTGTTTCCTTTTTATTTTTTGGCACAAGTTCGCCACATTAAACGTTTAGTTTCTTCAGTTATCATCGCCTCACTCGTTGTCATTCGTGACAGTATATTCACACATCTCGGATGCGAGGGGTGACCTCTAAAAATCTCGAGGCAAAATTAAAATATATTAGCTGAAAACATTGCATTATTTTCCTGAGTATACTTCAACTTGCCGTATACTTGCCGTATACTTCAACTTAGCTGAGTCTACAACCGCGTTGCTGCACACCCTGTCGCACATGGTGGGTGCAAAATCGCTATTTGCCAAAATTCAAAAGTTAATAAGCGTGTAGAAATTACATTGCAACGTCATACTGGGACGACATGTGAAACTGCGACGTCACATGTCTGTGATCTCACAGGCTCAAGTAACATCATATGACTTCGCAGTGTTCCGTGACATCATATGAATGTGATGACACATGGTCAAGTAACTTCATTTGACGTCATAGTGTCGCTTGACATAACGTGACCTCAAAAGTTGCCGAAAAATACAGCGAATATGCTTTTCCCCTAAATTTGTCACGGAAGCACCTCCCGTGACGTCAAAGTACGAGGTGACGTTACTTCAGAATTTCTCTGTTGAATGTTGCCTAGAAATTTTCCTGTTACATATAGCGAGAAACATGTTGCGCAATACTTAACAAGAAAACGAACAACGCGACATCCCGTGACGTTTCAAAATTATCCACTAAATTTAGCACATGGATTTAAAGGGTAACATGACCTTGGACCTTGGCAGCGTTGCACGGAACGGCGTTCCAAAGAACGGCGTTCCTGGAACGCGTTTTTTTTTCACGAGGAACGAAGGAACGCCACCGTTCCATTTTACATCGGTGGCACTGGAGCGGGAACTCGTTGCATTTTTACTGGAATGGAAAGAGTAACGGCGTTCCTTTTTGTTCGTTCAGTGGGGTAATTTTTATTTTATTTCTAAGAAATCATATCTAAAAGTATAAAAACTATATCTTTACGAACATATTGTTTTTAACTTGTTAACTTTTTTGGCTACCTGTCTTGAAGTTTATTTTGTGTGGTCCTCGCTTGATAACAGTCGGGGGCAGGAGAGGTAGTGGACAACGATTCTTTTTTCAGTGCCCGAGACTGAGGTACAAAAAGCAAAACTTATAGTTGCAGGAAAAGACACAAACAGAGGGACATTTAAAACTCAGCTACTTCCTTTAGTTCCACGAATTATCATACACCCAGAAATCTAATACCGACTAAAGCCATTTCTGAACATCCATAAAAAAGACCTACAGTTACAACAAAATCACAGGTTACCAGACATCGAACGCACCCGTTTATCCCGAACATTGGTTACTTAAAAGATACACAAAAATTAACCGTTATTCCTTTTCCCCTTACCCCCCCCCCCCCCCCCCTTCAAATTGAACAATAATTAGAATAAAACGTATGAGGTTGTTGCAAAACGCTCGTGCATTGTGGGGTAACAGTACATTTGGCTCGTCTGAATCGTTCCCCACAAACATAAATATGGTTAAAAGCTGAGATTTTTAAACTTCAATATATCAACAAGTAAAACCTTGATTTCACTTGTTTTCGTCTCCTGGTGTCCTTCCATCACGACATAAAAATTCTTATGTTCTCATTTAATGCGATAGGTAAAAAAAAAACTTTGCTTGATTTAAATAAATATGGTAATCCGCGGAATTAAAATGTAACGTGTGTGTAACGATACGTTCCATTTTTTTAAACTGTAATGGGAACTAGTTCCTCTTACGCAGATCGAACTTGTAACGGAAACGCCTTCCAAAAAGCATAAGGAACGAGGAACGAGCTTTCGTTCCTTTTTTTTTTCTTTTTGAGGAACGTGTACAACACTGGGCCTTGGTAGTAAGACTCCAAAGCACGGCGCACCACCTCTGTTCTGCTTCGAGCCATCAAAGAAGCTGCACTTCAATATGGCTGCACTTCAGAACGGCGGCACTTAAGACATCTTAAAATCATTGTTGTCACATTTGTGAAGCTGCGTCTGAAATAGCATGAACCGCTTTTCCGCCTTCTAGATAAGTAAGAGGAGTCTGATTGAAAGATCAAAACAATACCATCTGAGTTTCTTGAAAACGTATGTTAAGCGGAGGAAGTTGAAATTTAAAAATTAACTAGCGTGTTTTGCGTCTTCTTTAATTTCTCGTTTTTTGCGTGTTTTGCGTCTTCTTTAATTTCTCGTTTTTTGCGTTTTTTGCGTTTTTTGCGTCTTCTTTAAGCACCAAAATGGCGGCGCCGCTAAGAAACTCGCGGAATGGAGTGCCGATACACCATAAATAATATTAGCAAATTTAGTTTCTGTGGCACGCAACATCGAAATATCTAAGGTTTTAAAGAATTAGTTTGTTAAGCACTCCTGGTAGTTCCAGGCAGCCGATGCAATTGCCATATTTAAGCATCTATTGCCCAACCGGTCCCCTTTAACCGGATCAACAAAAAAAATCAAAACTGTTCCAGAAAGCGCACGCAGTTCAGTGGCAAAAATTATTACCTGTATTTTTACAATGTCGAGTGCAATGAGAGGTTATAAGGGAGGTTGTGCAATCGGAGGCCAAAAATGTTGATAAATTGATGCCACTCACTGTGCAATCGGGCGACTTTATTTTTTTTTTTTAGTCCTAAAACAGCCTTTTCAGTAAATTCAAACATTGGTAATGTATCTCCTCAGCAAATATGAAGGCCACACATTCAAAATTACAGGAGGAGATAATCTCCTAATACCATACTGATGAAAAAAGAAAAATCAACAACGGAAACTTTGAACTATTTATGGCTAAATTTAAATAAAAACGCTAGAGTGCTCTTATATCACTGCTGTCCCAAACTAGTTAAAGGCGTGTTGATTTTCCACATATTGGTTGGTAGGACTTATTTTCCTCTCTAGTACTTGTTGTCCAATAAAATGAATAAATTAGACTCATGACTTCGAATGAAGTATTAGGGATCGTGCGTATGCACGCTCTATTCGACCGGAGTCTTTATGCTGCACAACAAAAAGGAATAAAAAAATTAAGTAAGAATAGTTTGATTCAAATCGTTCAATGAGGTAACATACCCGGTTTTGTGCAAGTAGCAATGTGTTTGTAATCGCAGCAACGCGTACTTTTCTAATTAGAATAATATTGGATCTTTATTTCCAGAAAAGAATGAAGTAAACAGTATAGATTTACTTAGCTCTGTTACTGCCTGTTACATCCCAGGCACAGTTGAAGCTCGATTCTTTTTGTCTTCCCATTTTATCGCAGTACAAAGAGGGTGGCTTAAAAGGAACTTGTAAAGAAGGAAACTGCTATTTGGATGACAACAGTCCCACTGAGAATCCGAAGACCGGTGATGATGGTGAGGGTGATAATGATGATGATAATGAGGAGGAGGAGGAGGAGGAAGACGAAGAAGAGGAGGAGGAGGAGGAGGAGTATTAGGAGGAGATTGGGGATACGGAGAGAAAAGGATAGAAATTGACGATGAATAAAAAGAAAAAAAAAACAAGAAAAAAAATATCAAGCGGATAACTTTCATTAAAAGCACCTAATCTAAACGATGCTTAATAAACTTGAGAAACAGTAACGTCCGAATTCAGGAACGTTCCTTTCCTTACCGGAGCACCTTTCCTCTCGTAGGTGGGCGCACTTGCGAATCATAAACAAGCCTAACCTTATACCCCTGTCAGACGGCAGCTACAATGGCATTTACGCCAAATGACATTCAGGTTTTCAAATGACATTCGAGATGGGACCTGCCAGACGACAACTAAAATGACATTTAGGTGATGTTCATTGCGATTGCGTTCGCTAAGTCGAATCAGTCACACAGAGTATGCTTTTGCGGTAGCGATTATTAATTGCGCAATAAACTATTTGTTATATTTTGTTTTAAGTAGATGAAATTTATGAAACACCGCAAAGTGTTTTTTAAACGAAGTCTGCTTTCTGATGAGACGCTTGCCGCTTGGCGGCTTGGCTTGCTTGGCTTGCTCAGTGGGCTCCCTCCTTTGTTCAGCGCCGTGTCTCGTTTCTTTTGCTTCTCTTCGGCTGCCGTCGCTGTTTGTTCCGCTCAAGCTTCCCCCACTTTTCCACGTGCGATGGATCCTGCGGTGGACCCCGTGGACCCTAATCCGGCTGCCGCCGTTGCGATGGACGTACTGTCGTGTGCTGCGTATGTTATGTACGTGCTCGCTCTGCAAACAAGTAGTTTGTCTACTTTTAGCGTGGACATCAGGTCTGCCAGGAGGAAGGCGGATCTCCTCGAAGAGGAGCTTCTTGCGAACAGCGTTTTGCTTGCTGCCGCTGCTGCTGCGTCAAAGACTGACGCCGTGCCGCGCAGCGTCCAGGCGTTCGTGAGGAACGAGCGGTGGTTTGAAGATACACTGCCAAACTTGCCTGCTTATTTTTTCAAGCAGTCTTTTCGTGTGATGCCGACCACGTTTCGGTACCTCGTGAATGTGTGCCGGCCGCACATGAAGCGTGAAGTGACTGCCATGCGTGCGACCATATCAGTGGAGATGCGAGTAGGCGCTTCCTTGTACAAGCTGTGCTCCACCGCTGAGGACAGGACCGTCGCCCACCAGTTCGGCCTGGGACGCTCCACGGTGAACGAGCTGTACAAGGAGTTCTGCACAGTCGTCGTCTCCGCTCTCGAGCCCGAGTGGGTGAAGATGGTCGGCGCCGCCGAGCTTTCTGAGCGCGTCCGGGAGTTCGAAGCTACCTTGGACTTTCCGCAGGCCATAGGGGCACTTGACGGCTGCCATTTCCCTGTGTCGCCACCACAAGCGGACGCCACCGACTACCGAAACTACAAGGGCTGGTAAGTACCTTTTTCCGAAAGGGAACCGTATATAGCCTTCATTATATAAGAGATTATGTTTGGATTAGCAGTACAGAATCTGCATGTCCCAGCATTCCCGAGTTTAGACCACATAGTTTCTAGCCACATTACCAATTTTTTTTTTCTTCCAATCGCTGTTTGGGAACTTACTGCTTGAAGACAGAGTCAGTGGAACTGTCTGACCAACATTGCTAAAGTGTGGTTCAAAAAAAGTGTTTTGTATCCAATGTGTTCCATTACCTTATTGGGGGAGGTAATTATGTGGTGACCCAGCAGGCTAATTGAGTGCTTTGCCACGCTTATATGCAGGTACAGCATCATCCTCCTTGCCTTGTTGGACCATAGATTCCCTGGTTCCGGTATGTCAACGTCGGAGCGCCAGGACGGTGCCATGATGCCCATGTTTTCCGGAGGTCGGCACTGGCAGGCATTCTGGAAGGGCCAACCTTCCAGAAGCCCATGATCACCATCAATGGGACCGCCGTGCCACCAGTGATCCTCTGCGACCAGGTATTCCCGCTTACGCCTAACCTGTTGAAGCCGTATCCGCGGAAGGACGTCACGGACAACTCCACGCAGGCGGGGTTCAACAAGCGGCTGTCAGCTGCACGCAAGATTGTTGAAAATGCCATCGGCCGAGTGAAGGCACGGTTTCGCCTGATCCTGAAACGCATGGAGTGTGACGTTAACAACGCCCGCCTGATCGTACGAGCCTTCTGCGTCCTCAACAATATATGTGAGCACTTCAACGATGGCGTTGAGGCCCAGTGGCTCAGGGATGCCGAGCGTGTGGACAGCGTCCACATCCAACCGGTCTGCGCCACGGACATCGAAGCAGACAGCGGACAGAGGATCAGGAACGCCATTGCTGTCTACCTGCACCAGCGCTCCAGGCTGCAGCACTGAATCCCTGTTGCGTGATGCACAACGGAGGCCCCATGTTACTGGTGGCATGGCACTGGCCTGTCTAAACATCAGTGCTGTGTGCAACTGAGGTGCTGGGTGCACCTCAGTTGTCTGCAAGACAACTGAGGTGCACCCTCGGGTGCACTTGAGTCGTCTTGCACAAATGCAGACAGCACAGATGTTTAGACAAGCCAGTGCTGTACCATCAGTAACATGTAGCCTTCTACCAACCAAAAAAAAGGCCCTTTTCAAGGCCAAACAAATAGGCTTTTTGGAGCTTGCTATACTGTGAGACCATGCCCTCCCGTGTCTCGAGTAAATGCTTCATGGGAGTCATGAAATGTGCCTTTCATTCATTTTTCAAAACAAATTTCGTTGATTGAATTATTCCAGTTTATATCTCAACTTCTTTACGAAAATATAGAAAGCTTTGTAATGCTTGGCAGATTTTTAGTCACAAGTACATATCAATAATATATGAAATATGTAAGCAATGATTATGTTATCCATTCGATATTATTGAATGATTGGATAATATCAAATGATTTAGAACAGGAATTACCTAAATCATTGGACATTTTTTCTTATATTTGGTGGCAGGTTAAGGACCCATTCGATGCTATATCTCTAGCGTGTGGTTATTGCCCTCCGCCTAACCAAGTGTCGCAAAAGGCAAAAAGCTTCAGAGGCAGAAATCTGCACACTTAACTGTTACCACAGCTCTGAAATACTTCATATTTTGATACTAATACCGTATACTCTATCCTAAACACCCCCTTTTTTTCACACCCGCGATGTTCAAAGAGGGGGGGGGGGGGGGGGGGGTGCTTGGAATCTCGAAAATACGGTAGTTACCTTGAGAGAAAGTCATCCGTGAAATTTTCTTTTAACAATATCTGCACAAATGGCACTAGACTTCGTTGCTACGAGTGATCCCGACCAATTGAGTGCTGACCAAGCTCCTGTGCTCCCTCCAGACACTTGCATGGCATTGAATTGAATCCAATGGCTCGTGTCTGCTGCGACCTTATCATAAGGGTGAAATAAGGCATCATGCCTAGCATTAAATGCCGAGGTAGAGATTATTTCATATTCAGCAGTTTTCTTCACCTTGCAGAATATAATGATTATATAGAGGTCTATTGCTACAGTAAATACTGATATGGGCCTCCAGCACTGAAGTTGCACAATAAAGCCATTTAGGAATTGCCCCAGTAGTGCAACAAAATCCAGAGATGTCCTTAGCTGGCATGCAACAAGCAATGGCATGACCTGATGCTTTCACAGTGCTGGGAGCACAGTGGCTTTGGTGCAGGCAACAACAGTGCAAAAATGTTGTAGGTGACATGCTGTCATGCAAGCTTATACCTAATGAAGTACAGGCGGTGGTGGGTTTCATTCAGACAGAAGAAAATTGCTTGGACCACATAGCTAGTACATTCTTTACTTGAGATTACTGAAATGAGCCTGCACAGAAGTATCGTTTACTTGGAGGCTTTATTAAGGAACGCCATCATGGCAGCCGCAAGGTCTTGTTGAGACTTCGCCATTTCTCTCTATGCTTTCACAGCGTCCTGCTGGGTCTTCAGTGCCTCTCGCTGGACAGCCAGCTCCTGCTCCCCGAGCTCAAACTCTCTGTTCCGTGCCGCTTCGTAACTTGCCAGCAGTTGAGCTTGGCGATCCATAATGACTTGGAATGCAGCAGTGCTGGGGCCCTGCCTCTTCTGCTTGGGCACTCTCGGCTGGGCCTCGTCCGTCGCCTCACTGCTGCTCCCGCTACTTCTTCTTGAAGCCGTGGCGGAGTCGAAGCCAGCACTGGTGCTGGCATCTGCGCTTTCGTCCTCGATATCCGCAGCACGCTCCCAGTGAACGTCTTCCTCGGGGGGGGGTTGCCTTGTGTCTCCGAAAGGAGCTGTAGAGGATGTCACAAGACGAGCTTTCCATATAGAAGAACATGAACTTGCAAGTGGCCAAGTATTGCCCGCAGCCACCCTGCAAGGTGTTTCTCGAGACGAGAGTCAAATTGTATCTGAAAAGCATGCAGCGTATACAAAAGGCCACTTCCAGAAACAACAATTTCGGTGTAATGTGTTCATTATTTACAGTCGAGTAATGACTTTTGAATTAGTAAATTTAATAGTATGCTTTTAACAAGAAACTTCATCAGCATCATCGGAAATCACTTAATTCATTTTAGAAATGTATAAAGCACATAGAGGGCTTTACGGTGTCCTGAACAAAAAGCTAGATTTTGATCATTTTCTAGGTTTCGGTTTTCTGTCTGGGCACTTCTTTGTGCCAGCGGTTCTGCCTTCCAGCGAGAGGACAGTTGAATTCTCACGCTGTTACACAGGAATTAATGCACACAAAAGCAGATACCAGCACAACCATGCGGCAAAGTGTGATAGTTCAAGAGCAGTTGAATACGTCGAAAAGCTGGCACCCCTCGGTAGAGCCGCTCTTAAAAGAAGCATGCACCATTCAGAAAACTGTATTTTAAGCCGTGATGTCCATGACGCCAGGAAAGCAGTGAAAGCGATAAGCTGGTAGAGCGATACAAACCCTTTCAGGTGCATTTGTTGCCGAGTTCTTAAGAGTCTCACTGACTAAAACTTCATTTCATTGCTAGCAACGTACTGGTATATACACAAAGTACAGTCACAGTCTTTGCATTCCCCCAGTCTGCAAAGGCTTTCAGAAAAGCTTCACAGCTCTGCCACCATTTTAAACTATTGAGTCAATAATTGACACCACCACCAGCATCAACAGCAACACACGTGAGATGGCTGACGTGCATGAGACACTTCTGTTGGGACGCAGCTGCGGGATTAACCTCTGGCAAAGTCCAATTAAGGAGCATTTAGCATGAATGGAAGACCAATGATATCAGATACCACAGCAACCTATTTATTGAAACACTTTCTTTCTAAATACATAAGTAATATATCCTTTGTCGGCTAGTTTTCTGCTTACATACAAAAACATGCCACCTCGCTTCAGAGTACAGCGGAACTGCTGCTTGGACTTCACCTGACTACACGCCTGGATTTCTTGAAGCCCTCTACAGAGCTAAATGTCCAGGGGGCACAGTACAGGCAGCTGTTATCCAGAGGTCATCGAGCATGTCAGTTTGCTTTTGGTGAGCGTGTATGTCAAGAACTTCCACCCAGGAGACCGTTAGCTGAAAAGAGTCATCCTGTCTCGTGCAGGGCCTTTGTCCTACCAATTGTGAATGAAAACGTCTGGTGGTACATTCAATTGGCAACAGCACCTAGACCACCTGAGGCCATGCGGGTCTACCGTTCCTGGCATGGAAGACATCAATCTGGTGCTTCCGTGCTTTGGAGCGTCTAATTGAGTGCCGGAGCCGGGGAGTGAGCAAGAAACAGTAGAAAGATACGCGGGGGTCAGTGCTCCTGGCTGGGAATCACAGGCAATACCGACCTGAGCGACGGTACTTGAGCGACCACCTGGACGTTCAACAGGTTCGAGGTGGTGCGGGGCTATGGAAGATGGCCATCGTTCCGAGACTCACGTACGCAAATGGCGTACTCGTCCTCTCATCGCAAGCGAGGGAGTTCCTGGAGAGAAGACAGAGGGATGCGGGAAGAATGGCCTTGGCAGTCTCAAGAACAGCACCCAACGAGGGTGTCCAGGGGGACCTGGGCTGGTCTTCCTTCGAGGCCAGAGAAGCCAGCGCCAAGGCACTGTACGAGAGGAGAGTGCGCAGACTCCCGGATGAGAATTGGGCCCACCGCACCCTGCGCTACTTGATATACCAGGAAAGAGGCACCAAATGGATGCACCGCCTCCGAAGGCTGCGGGACCACTATGGTTTCGAACCGATCTGGCTGGAGTCTGCGGGCGAGAACCGGGAGGGCCCAGCGGCAATCAGAAAGGGCATCCGAGCGGTGGAGACGGAGAGATGGAGAGATGGAGAGCGGGAGCGGCGGCGAAGCCGTCCCTCGCGATGTACTACGCGGAGAAGGAGGCCATAAGGAAAGAGCCCTGGTATGACAACTCGACAGGCAGTGGACACCCCGCAGAGGCCCGCATGGGTACATTACGGACCCGGGTGTGGAGGGCCAGGTTCACCGAGGGACAGGAGAGAACGTGCATACTCTGCAGGCAGACCGACGAGACGACGGAGGACCTGGTGCTGCAGTGCCCACACATTGTACCGGCCCCTAGTACAACTGTGCTACCAGTAGCACTGGCTTTCCGAATCGGTGCAGAACAGGGAGAGGAAGAACAATCGATCGGCGGTAGACGTGACGAAGAGGCGGCTGGAAGTCTGGTGGAGGCCCTAGGGAGACACATCGGCGGAGGGAGTGCAACCGATCAGCGGAACACCAAGCGGAAGCGGAAGTCGCGAAAGACGCGACTGACTAGGCTAGATCCAGTATCCGTTACTGTTGATCACCCGATACAAAGGGAAGAGCCACAGACTCCAATCCAATCCAATCCCAGAGAGGATTCGGGGCACTCTGAACTGGTGCCACGATTTTGTAATGTACTTTTGATCTAGCGTAGAGGAGTGTGTTTTATGTGGTGTTAAATTTTCCCGCTAAATTCGGCAGGAAATTATTCCGAATAGGGTGGCGTCAGGTGCGACGTTAAAAGGGTAAAATTTTCCCACTAAACATGGCGGGAAATTCTTCTGCTAAATCAAGCATGAATATTTCCCGCCAAACGTAGCGGGAAAATGTTACCCTCGTGATGTAACGTGTGACGTCATGTGTGACGTTATTATGGGAAACGTCCCATAATGTAACGCGCGGTTACGGCGACAGCGACGCCGCTCGACCCGGAAACAGGCGCCCAAGAGCTGCACTCTAAAACAATGTATTAGTAATGCCTGGCTCGACTAGCATGTTTTGCCCACACAGCAGACGAGAAGTGCACACGAAGCACCACTGCTGCAGCGTGACGTAAAAGCGTTGGTGTATACGGAGCGCCCGCAAACTATGTCCATCTAGGGCTGGCACAATGGTACGGTT